CCAAAATTCTCCCCAAGACTCCAAACCGCCCCCTGGGAGGTCCAAAATTCCCTTCGGGACCCCAAAACACCTCCTGGGACCTCCAAATTTCCCTTTAGGACCCCTGAAATTCGTTCTGGGACCCCCCAAAAACTCCCTGAGACCCCCAAAATTCCCTTCACGACTCCCCAAAAACCCCCTGACACCCCAAAATTCCTCCTGCGATGCCCCAAAGACCTTCCAGAATCTCCCAGGACCCCCCCCCCAATTTTGGGTCCTCCCCCGATTCGGGGTTCTCCCCGGTTTTTGGGTCCCCAGGCTGGTGGCTCATGAGGACGACCCCGACTTGGACCCCGAACTCCCCCCGGGTTTGGGGGCATCGCCCTCGGGCCTGGGGGGGCCCCATCAGCCGCCGGCCCCCAAGGACAAGACCCAGAAGTGAATTTTGGGGGTCGGGGGGGGAATTTTGGGTTTGGAGAGGAAATTTTGGGGTTTGGGGAGCTCAGGGATATTTTGGGGTTTGGAGTGGTTAATTTGGGGTTTCAGGGTGTTTTTAGGCAGGGTTTCCGGGTATTCTTGAGAGGGCTTTGGGGGATTTTTTGGGGTATTTTTGGGAGGGTTTGGGTATTTTTGGGTGGGTTCTTTGGGGGTATTTTTAGGACGATTTGGGTTAGGGTTAGATATCCTAGATATCCTTCAATGCTCGTATTTGTTGCAGTCAGGCGCCTGCCCAGGGCCACAGGGTCTTGTGCTCTAATTCCAGCTCTTTTCCTTGGGAAATAAAACACACCAGTCCAGGTTCCTGATGTCAATTTGTAGAGCTCCCTTGGGACTGTCGTGGCAGTGCAAGTTTAAGGTGGGGACAGCTTCGGTCTGAGATACATCCTTCGATGTTTGGCTTTTTTGCAGTCAGGTCTCAGCTCAGGGCCAGGGACCCCTGGGCATATACTCTGGCCCTTTTCCCTGGGAAAGAAAACTCACCAGTCCAGGTTCCTGATGTCAGTTTGTAGGGCTCCCATGGGACTATCAGGACAGCACAAGTTTGATGTGGGGGCAGCTGGGGTCTGGGAGTTATTCTTCGATGTTCGTATTTGTTGCAGTCAGCTGCCCACCCAGGGCCAGGGGGTCCTCTGTGCGAATTCCAGCTCTTTTCCCTGGGAATGAAAACTCACCAGTCCAGGTTCCTGATGTCAGTTTGCGAGTTGTGCTTGGGATGTTTAAGGCAACCCCTGATTAACATGAGGGCAGCTTGGGTCCACAACATATCCTTCTCCATTCAGATTTTCAGGGGGCAGCCCTTCTTTCATGGCCCCTGGCTCTTGGACTCTGTCACTGGCCCTATTCTCTGTGAAACATGGCTCACCCTCTACACTTCCTGATACCAGTTTCGAGGAGGTGCTTGTCTCTTCCAGGGCAGGCAGAATTCTTGGTGGGAGCAGTTTTGCTCCAGGATAAATCCTGTGCCATTCAGAACGAAATGATGTAGAAAGTCACTTGCAGCCACAGGCCTCGTGATCCAACCTCTGCCCTCTTTCCCTGTAAAACCAACCTCACCCTCTCTGTGTGTTGATGTCTCTTCACTGGAGGTGTGCTGCTCTCCAAGGGCAGCGAGAATTCCTGGTGTTGGCAGCTGTGGTCTGTGAGAAATCATTCACTGTTTGCAATTTTGGTAGCACAATTCCTGTTTGGCCAGGGGAAAGATTGTTAATTATCTTGGCAATGAAAATCTGGCACCCCATTGTTTAAGGGTCTGGCAAAGGGCTGTGTAGGGGAGGGAACACCCCACAGGACCTTTCTTCACCTCATCCCCCACTCTTAGGTGTAGCAGCTCCCCGTGTGAGCAGCTGCTTTTAGTGCAGCTACCTGAGCACACCTGCACAGGGAGCTGCTAATCCAGAGGGGCTAACAGGGGTATCCCAAGTGTCCCTCCAGGAGCTACAGTCGGAACATCCAGCTGGGACCGGGGAGCAGCCGGACCCACCCGGGCACGGAGCATCCCTTTGAGAAAATGCAGAGGGCAGAGCCCTCTTTCCAAGGGGCAGCACCTGAGCAGGCCGGGCAGCATGTGGGGTTCCATAGGAGAGCTTTCAACTTTCCCCTTTTATTGTGTCAGTCCCTCCCTAGAACCCCCAGACCTTCCACAGCACTCCCAGAAAAAAGAGGGGTTATGGAGAGACAAGGGGTTTAAAGTATGGGAAAAAACTTCCTTTTCCATTATTTCTTGCTTTCAAATAATGAGGAAATGCACTTCCCCTGCAATTTTAATGGTCTCATTTGAAAGAGTCCCTGCCTTTTCTATGCTAATTGACAGGGAATCCCCATATTCCATTATTTTCCAGTTTAAATAGAGGGGGAAAACCTTGACAATGTTGTTTATGGGTTTGAATTAAGGGTAGCCCTTTTTGTTGTCCTAAGGCTTAAATTGAGGGGGAAGCCCAGCTATCTCTCTTTCTTAAGGGTTTGGATTGAGGGGAAAATCCCTCTGTCTTCATAACTGGAGAGATTTAAATTGAGGAAAGCCTCTCTTTTCCCAATATTTGAGGGGATTAAGTTAAAGGGCAGAAGCCATTTATTTGCCATGGTATCCATTTCAGTGGAGGCAACTTCCCCATTTCTTCATTTTAAGGGATTAATTTGAAGGAGGCTCTTCTAAAATGCTTTTTCAGCATTTAAAACTACTTTCAGGGCACTTCTTTCTGTGCCCTAGGACTAAGTACCTCAGAGAAAGGCAAGCCTAGCATGTACTTAACCTTTATGCTGCCCAGGAGCCTATTATTTTTCTTATTTTTATTTATAATGTAGTTAGTCCTAATTAGTAGCCCCAAGGAGACTTAAACTGTTCATATAATTAGTATTTTTCTCCACCCTTAGTCTCATGTTGAGTACTACTTAGTAGTCATTGAGGAATAATTATATAAGTTAACAGCAAATTACCCAACTTATCTAGATATGCTGCCTAAAAACAAAGTTTTATTTCTTACCAGTTTTTTTGCCCTTTTGCTCCAAGCAGTTGTAGAAAAAAGAAAGAGCTGTCATTTCCCTGAAGAGCTTTCTTCTATATCCAGCCCTTTATTCTCCTTGAATTCAAGCCAGAGGAGCCAAACAGCCACAGTGCCTCTGATGGCTTTTATACTCGATGGGGTTTGCCCCCTCCCTTTTCCCAGGTGCCACGGGAACGAGAGGCGGGCCCAATCAGGGGTATATTAACCCCAGCCTTTCCCAAGGGGCTTCATTCCCTCAGTGGGATCAGCTGGGGTAAGAGCTCTCCTCTCATTCAGGTGAAGAGGCTCCTTTAGCTTAGCTTGTTCTCTGCAGCTGCTTTTGGGCTTCTAATGCAACAGAGGCTTTGAAGATACTGCAAAGAAAACAACGTTGAACACAGGGAGTATTTAAATTCACAGTTTGGGGTTGAGTATTCAGGGCTGGTAAGGTGCTTTTGTAATTTCTGATTTTTTTCTTCTTTTTTTAGGAGGAGGGCAACTTCCAGTAATTGCAGTTTGTGTCGAGCGGAACATTTTTCCAGCAGATTCATCACGACGCAGAAGGCATCCGCACTGTGTCAAAGATGATGTGTGAGACGGTGGCTTCAGGTGAGTTGAGGATTGTGACTAGGAGAGGGAGAGCAAGCAGGGTACTGAGTTAGGAGTTATCCCGGTGGGGGTTTGCAGGCAGTAGGGTGAGAAACGGTGCGTATCTGCAAAGCTTTTCACAAGCATAGCAGAGGCATCCACGTGTCATACAGCACACAAGCTCATCCACCGAACTCACACAAATGCCATGTAGCTTTGTCTCTCTAACCCCGGTGCCACTCATCATAACAGCCATACCTTAGACTCAGGATGAGGCCGGAGACTTGAGCACCCCTGCACACTGAGGAGAGGATAAGTAACTGACTTGCTGAGATTCGGCCCACATAACATGAAACACAACCGTTGATTTTCCCGTTCTTTATTTTAGGAGACTAAGAGGCTAACAGGCTATCTCCTCTGAGCCAGACTCATTTCAGGTCCAACGTGGATTCACATCACCAGTCAT